TGAGAAGCTCCGGTTCATCACCGGAGCCCTCGGACCCCCCTCTAGTTGAGCCCCCGCCTGCATTCGGACTCACGCATTCACCCCTTCTTCCATAACCGACGGGTTTTTGACAGGACCAATCTTTGGACAACCCAACCTTTCCTCAGTTCACATACAACAGGACTGAGGTGAGTTGGTTATATCTTTCATACACCATGTATTAAACATTTGTCCACCAGCGATAAACTCACTAGGTGATTACTTTTCAATATATTTCTAATTCACATACAACAGGACTGAGCGATAAGCTCACTAGTCCTCCATTTCATCTTATATTTTCACCAACTTCAACATACAGGACTCCTCATCAGTGCTAGAGACAATTACGAAAGAGCACTGACTCAACCATCATGTGTGGCTGCCATTGCTGTCCACGAAGTGATTGAAGCGAATCTTGTTGCCTACTCTGTATTGGCAATGATAGAGGACCTCTTGCATGGCCATAGGATTTTTGCATCGCAATGATTTGCAGAACCCACTACAGAGTTAGCAGGAATCATCATGTAAGAGATTTCTACAAACAAATGTGAACTAAGGAAAGAAGCAAGGGGAAATTTTCTGGATACACACGTAGCGCTACCAGCGCACAAACCCGAATAAGGGACTGACACCACACACTCAAGGACAAGACTAGTTGTCGGATGTGATGGCACACAGACCTCAGTTGCTTCCACTTCTAGATTGTTCTCTTTGTATCCATCCCTGAGTGCCACAACATTCAACTCATGGCTACACTGGGGACAGCATCACATCAATAAATGTCGACTTCAAACATGATTTTACAAGGCACCCAAGGCATCCCTGCACTGATGTGCCCAAAAGGAGAAAGGTCATTCATCAACAGATAGGTGACCAGGGAACGTTGACCAGGAACCTGAGAGTTGGAAATTATGTAGAAGGGCACAAATTGACCCCAGCAAATGCTTCTTTTTATGGACTTTGGTGGTCCCTGGGGGTCATTCATTACATAGGGGTCATTGTGCATGCACACAATGAAGGTGAGTTTCATTAATATTCTCTATGACTTGTGTGCACACTGGAGGAGATGCAACAGGATAGCATGGCAACAGTCCCAGCCAATGCCAGAACCTCTTGAAATTGAAGATGACCTGGGTAACTTACAACAGGCAGGAGACTGGGGATGGAGGAGGGTAACACAAAAAACAAGGACAACAAGGAACAAGAGGGAGAAGAGCAGAAGTTACAAAGAACAAGGAAACAACTGAAGATAATGAAACCTAGGAAAAAGCCTGAATAAGCAATCGGGATCCCACCCACCGAGAGTAACCAAAGGTCACAACACCTCCCCCTCAGCGAGACCGAAAAGCTTACTGGAAGCAAGAAAAACCTCAACAAAAAACAGCTTGCAAGAAAAAAGTCTTCAGCAGAGGTCAAGGTAAAAGTGGGCTAGAGCCCTGTAGCATAGGCAGACGAACAACACACAGAATTCATCTGAAGAAATCGATCCAGGAATGCAGCGGCAATAAACCTGAATCGGCATGACTGCAACCTTGGAAGGCACAGTATGCGTAAGGCCGACAGTGGGTACAGCACGTAAGATGAAGCATCACCAGGGATTGTGCCAAGCACGAAAGAAAAAACAGAGAGCGCATTTTTAGACCGACCGCACACAAGTCTAATTTAATCTCATGCCTCCATTAAATAACAAGTAATTGTTTTTTGCGATTGAATTCATGAAAATCTTTGAGCAGAAACATAGAACGTGCAAAGTTCCTGCATAAAGGAAGAAGAAAGTGCCATATTGATGGCTCGTGGCAACAAGTACTATGAATAGTGAATGGTATTACTTTAAATAGTAAATGCAATCAGTGGCCAGATGCGCGCTGAGAGCAGAGCAATACGGATAATGTCTTCACACTTGGAAGATGATTATGGGTGATAAGGTGGGCGCCATCTATTCGAGAACCTGGCCGCTCTACCCAAACTGAAGATATCATCACCCAGTGGGTCTAAATGACCCTGGAGGACCCAGAAACTACCCTCCGAGACGGAGACACTCGGGAGCCAGAGCGGTCTTTAAGTAGATAGAAACGAAAAGCTTCACACATGGAATCCATGTGGCGCAATGAGGGTGGTACAAGAACTGATGGGCCAGGAGAACCCCTACTTCTCCAGTTGGAGTAAAAGCGGATACTCAAAGATTGGGAACGCAAGATTACAGGAAGTGATTTCGAGAGGGTTACGGGCGCTCTTGGCCCGCTACACCGGTATCTGCTGGGAAACACTTATTAGTGCAATCCGTTTTCTGAGCAACGACATCCTGACCCTCGTGAACATCGGCAAGAGCATGGCGCTAGCGATGGAGAAAAGCGCGAAACTGAACAAAGGGGCGAACCTTCCTGAAAAGGAAATCTTGACGGCAACAACTTGGTTGCATCCATTCAACTTCAATACACAAAGGCATAAACTACATCACACTCCCTTGATTCCCTCATCTTTTTGCCCTCATGCATTGCGAGCTAAGATGACAACCCTCCTCCATACCCCTACCGACCTTCCCGCAATGCCTTTCGACACCCAGCTGGTACGACGCAAGTCATCCGCCGTATCCACGTCGTCTACAGCCACAAACTGCTCTGCCAGACGGGCTTCAATAGTATCTTTAAGTCTAATGAACCACTCCCGGCAACCATTAGCGCCTCTTGGTCCTCAGATGACTCCTGCCTACGCCTTCGCAAATACCCCGTCTACCTGCGATCCTCCGGCAGATGGCAAACGACGATCGAGACAGTCTCTTAGTGAAGAAAGTCAACTAAAACCTGGTGCTGCATTAGACAGCTCCAATCAGGCTCCTCGGAGAGCTAGGTGCGTGCAGCATTCGTAGAAAACGTGGAAACGTCATTTATCACATGCTCCATATGCAGTGGCTCAACTGATGGACGTCTCATCTCCACCCCTGCACGCCTCCAAGCAGCATACAGCGCAAGAAGGGGGAGCCTTCCTATCCTCTCTATACCCAACCAAGTGGCTTCGCTTCCGAACTCGGTTCCTAGTCCGTCCATGCCATTGAAGCCGCCAGGCGATAATGGGCTATTCAACCAACTGCAATCATATGTCCTTAGCAGTTCAAAGCGCCCAAAAGAAGATAATTCTCGAATACAGACTCCTCCCTCTCCGAAGGCCTCGTTGATTACAAGGAAAGGGCGCAGACCTGAAGTGGAGGAAATGCGAAAGGAGACACGGGACTCCTCCGACGAAGAAGAGATTGCCCGGCAACTTGAACGTGCAAAGCTACGCGCAATAGACGATGGAAGCAGACGACCGAGCTTACCTATTAACATTCCTCCTTCTCAAAACAGCGTCTCGGTCGAGCGCAAGAATGAGATTGCCGCTACCCTTGCAGCAGCTCCAAAAACCCTCCCCGAAGTCCCTTCATCCGATCCTGGCCCTTCTAATGCCCTGGCCAACTTCGATCTTGACTTCATCTTCGGTGAACGCGCCTATCCCAATGGTCCCCTCGCGATCCCATCTGGTGCTTCTGCATATGGTGGTGCCCGTCGGATGTCAGTGTCCCTTGATACAGGCACGGATGCACAGGGGTGGACTGACACGTTCGAGCGTTTTGTGAATCAACATGATAGTGCCTATGGCGAACGGCGCCAGCATTGGACGTTTCGACGTCGTGTTGACCCGCATCGACACCCGGAGACGATGGTTCTGGCGACAGGGATCTGGGAATGTGGTAACCATGGCACATATTGGGTTGGAGAGAGCCACGACTCCAACTGTGCAGATTATACGCAGGCATCACCATCTACACCACGCGCAAAGAAAGCATCCTTGGTTATCCGTCGATTTCCCGTTGTCGACGGGACGTCCGCAATACCTGGCTCTCCATCGACTCCTACGAAAGGGTCATCAAGTGAAGTGCGGATTCACATCCACAAGCATTCACGTGCTCCCGCTTATTCACTCTTCCTTGGGACTTGGAATCCATCGCGAGCTGCCAAATCTTCCATTTTACTCGCTGCCAAGAAGGTCCACCTCCACGTTTCGGCCAAGAAGGGCAAGGAGAGGGAAAAGATAGCCATGGATTCAAGTGGTGCCAGCCCGTCACGGCCCCGTGGCACAACTTTTTCTGGCACACAGCGCGCTGTGGTGACATCTGGGGCTAATTCTGCCCCATCTGGATCAGTTGGTGTGCCGGACGTCACGATGGCTGAGACATATCAACATGAAAATCCGCACGATGATTTCAAGCTGCCTCGCCGAGCCCCTCCTCCTGGCTATGTACCCCCCTACGTCAACCGTGATCTTGTTCTCCAAAATCCTAAATTGGATGTTGGCCACGACGCACTAAAGGCTACCTATGCGCCTCTTGCTCCTCAAGCGCGAGAAGCGTTGCTTGAACAGTTACGAACCCGACAGACGTTTGGGCGAAGAATCAAACGTGTTCTCGGTGCAGGGCCGCCTTCGCCGCCAACATTGTCGCTAACCCATCCATCGCATTCTGGAGGCGTGAACAAGCCAGTAGATGGTCCTAGTACATATAACCCGCCGTGGCTGCTCATGGCGCCTGGATACTTGAAAGAGGAAAATGACAAGAAAATCAAACGACTCCAGACTTCTTTCGAGAATGCCGGCTTTTTCCCTCAGTCTCGGGTCAAATCGACTAGTAAAAGAGAGAAAGGGAAGACCCATTCATCGACATCGAGTAGTTCAAGAAGTGCTTCGTCCAGATCGACATCGGAGCAAGGCCACTTCAGAGCAGTTTCTTCCCCTGGACGCGTGCCACTTCCCGAGGAACTTCCCTCCACGCCACAGTGGAATGGTGTGTTGGATGGTGTTGGGGCCGACACCATGTGCATGGTACTTCCACTTTGGGACTTCCGTGACCATCGCGAAGCTGATGTGTTCGACCCTACCCCACCAGCCAGTGAACGGAAATGGTTATTGGTTACTTACGTTCCTTTTGAGACGGTTGATGCCATTCCATCCTCTCCCACAATTCATAGTCCCTTCAGGGCCTTTTTTGGTCACCGAAGTCGGTCCAAGAAGCGGGTCAGACGCGGGTCAGGAATGCCTCTCTCATCAAACCCTACACCTCCTGGCCCCAGCCCCACGGCACGCGCAGGCACGAGCGAAGGTCATGAAAGTGGCTTGCGTTCATTCCGCATCGTTGGGCGCATCCTCTTTAATGACGAGCTTGAAAAATCCGGACTTCGTTATCCTCAAATACCCAATCGTGGCGCCTCCCCTTCACGAATGGATGTCGACTCGCGACATCCGTCACCACCATCTCCCCCGAAGAAGCGAAAACAGAGGGAGGCCGGCTCATTTACAGCTGTTCTGGCGATATGCCATGATTCACACTCTGGGCGTGGGATCGAGTTCATCCCCGAAGGTTTGGATTGTCTAGGTTTATGCGGTTCAGCACCAAAGCGCGTCGACGGTGCCGTAACTCCCTATGGTCTTGATAGGGAATGCAGCCAAGTCGGCCTGCTGGGCAAGGAGATCCTGGAGATCACCTGGGCAGGTTGTCTAGCTCTTCTAGATGGATAACCATGATACGCACATGTGCTGTGGATCTCGCTTGCTTTCCATTTCATGTTATAGGTTTTTATACACCACTTCGCTTTTCACCCATTGCATACACCCGAACATTTCTTGTTACATTTTCGTTTAGTTAACGCGTCACCCCCGCGTACACACACTACAAAACCACCTCATGTACATTCTCTTGGCCGTTTATTACGGGTACATGCTGTATTGTCCATATCTACAACGCAAACTATTTGTGCTTCAAGTCGCGCTTGTAGTAGATGTTGCATGAATCGCGTGACTTTGAAACCGAAAGTCAAGAGGTCGATCCAACCCTTGAACTTGAAGAGAATTAGTGTGTAACAATGAGCTGGTATGAATCGTTGCGATTCCTCTCGCCTCTGTACACTGATCGGTAGCCTTGTGACGGTTGCAGGTCTGGGTGAGCACTTTTTTGGACTCAAACTGCAGCACCGAATGAACCCCCTCGCTTAGATTCAAGAAGACAGTCAATAGGGCGGGAACCACGGTGACCATCTTTGTTTTTTTTTAATGTCGGAGAAGGACGCTTAGCGTATCTCGGTGCCCATAGCTCATGCAAAAGACTGGTCAAATTGAGCGGACGGTCGATCGAGACTTTTCAGATGAATCGGCCAAGTTCAAGACGTATGTGCCGCTCGCTTTAGGTCGGAATCCATTATAATCCTTTAGTTAAGATATGAGAAAGAGACAATTGCCTTGCAAAAAGATAGCAAAGCCTTCCTTGAAGCGATACGAGGTGTGCACGGTCCACTCCCCCTCCAACCCAGTTGCCTCACAAGCGGAACGAAAATATAGCAATTGCATCGTCACAGGTAAAAATATCGGAGACCATCGATGTGTTTTATGGTGCTGCGGACCGAATGTCCGAAGGCGCTATGGCTGCGAATGCGTATCGACGATCGACAGAGGAGCTAGATGCAACCACGACAGGGCAGCTTGTACGTGTAAAATCGGATTGTCAAACTGGTTCCTCAATTACTCTGTAGGATCAAGCTTTCCGGAACACTATTCTTGAGCCCGTTGGGAGGATGGCTTCTTATTTCCCTAACATCAATTCCCTGATAGAAAAGAGAAATAAAAAGGTTAGTGTACATCAATCTTTCGTGATAATGGCTGTTTTGCAAACTACCACCGTTTAGCTACTGGATTATGATGCAGCACGAAGTAAACTGCGGAAGCTGGAGGGGAAGGTTGATAACGACCCCACGAAGTTGCCACGGGTAGGTCCACCGCATTGATCAGCTTTCCACCCTACCATTCACTCGGATTGTCCAGGCTGAGAAAGAGTACGAGGACGCGAAGGAAATCTTTGAGACGATCAATGAACAGCTCGTTGCCGAACTCCCCCAATTCTTAGACCTCCGGGTTCCATACTTTGACCCCAGTTTTGAAGCAATGATTCGACTTCAATGCAAATTTGCAGAAGAAGGGTATGAGAAACTAGGCGCAGTACAGCGATATTTCCCCGATAACGTTCGGGACGACTATGCTGCAGGGCAATTGGACGCACAGGTACGCGAGAGCTTATTCGTAGGGCTTCATGCCTGGCTGATGGCTGATGACTCGCCGTATACAAAGGTAGAAAACGTACTTCAAGAAATGAAAGATTTATCTATTTGCAGTGCCAGTGGTTAGAGTGTGTTGACGCACGCGATGACTTCGAACCAAAGACAGTAACATTTGTCCTTGCTTAATTCTACTTTGTACTTCCTGGCATATTTTTCGAGCCTGGTAAACCCGCTCTCATGCATTCTTTGATCACCCTCTTCACATTGGTGCTACTGTGCTCTGCACAGAGTCATACACCCGTGGCAATATTACGCTTTTTTCGACGCTGAAAATTTGTCATCTCTTTCCCCTTTTGGTTTCTTTCTTTTCACTTTACATAATTTTTCTTACGTTTCAAGGTGTCAATGTGCCCCTTGGTATCGGTTCAGTTTGATCAGTACCATTGTATCTGAAGGCCACCATGTATGACCTTCACTCGCTGCCGTGGCATCCGTTTTTTTATTTTTCCCTGTATCGTGTTATTGCGAGAAAGATGATTGAATTCCATTGACGCTTGCAACATAACAACATATGTAGTTATTTGAGAACGGAACAAGTGGGCAGTGCAGAGTCTGGCAAAGCGCGAAGTGCAAGCACTCTAGTAGTAATTCATGCGCACAATCCGTGGCCGTCACCATGACAAACACCATAGTCCATATATCCGCATTCTATGCTGTGGCCGCTTGAGCTCGCTTTCGACTTTCGAAGTCCTTGCGCGCCATGTACAGTGCTGTCAATTAGATACCAATTTGGCAAGATGGCACGTCGCGATCCCTCAGTAGCGGACCTAATTTCCATTTGCACTTAACGTATGACAGAGGAAAAGCGTGATTTCGATTTCTTTCACGTAGATCCATGACTAATGGTCTTGGGAACCAGTCTCCTCTTCTACACATCGCATACAAGTCTACGACCTGCTCCACCAGTGAGTGACAGGGTGAACGTTCCCCACCCTTGGATATGAACGCATGGACTGATGGAGGATATGTATTTGGTATGGAATTTCGGCATGGCTCGCGTTTCCTCTCGGAGAACCTCGTGTACCCTTTTCCGGGGGCAGTATGATCTGGCAGACCACAGCTTTCCATAACGCTTATTAATTCGCTTCAGTGATTCCCATTAATTAATAAATATTGTCGCTTTTGGCCGTGGACACTTTGAGGTGTGTATTTAGCTATGTAGTGGAGTAGAGTCGGATGGCGATTTACCAACTCCTTGCCCACTATCTTCACATAACGCAGAGACCATTCCTCTACCCTGGACATAGACGATGATGACGAGAGTGAAAGGGTTCCCATTCCTGTGCATCGCTTCGAGTCGAGCGCGTGATGGGCGCCAACAAATTGTGGGTATGTCTGTCTGTATGAGGACCTGATCCGATCCGTTATTATGAACAGCGTCCCGAGAACGCTTACCGCGTGTTAATTTTCTGCGGATAAGTCCTTCCCGGAATATGCGCATCTCTTGGTCTACAGCGACCTGATCAATTGGCACCTCTTATTCAGTTGCGTGCTTCCAAAGTTTGCTATCACGGAAGCCCAGGACCACTACTAGATTGTTTATGACAAAGCCGGTCAGGAGCTATTGGAAGAGTTCTCCAATGGTCCTTGTATATTGAGGAATGAAAGGCCGTATTCCTGCTTGTCACTGTCCCCTCTCATGCTGCCCACTCCCAGAACCCTGGGCAGGTGTTTACAACCCATGAAGCTGTCCTTTGCTTTTCGCACTATGCTCTGGATGGCATGGCTATGAATCCGTCAGGGAAGGATTTCTCTTTGCTTGGAGAAGCGGTGGACACAACAATTAACCGACGCCCCTGCACGTTCTGAGGGAGATTTATTGAGAATAAATGGGCTGCGACATGGCTGCAGATGCATGGATGGCGGCACCGGGAACAAAAGTGAGGCAAGCTGTTTAAAAAGTCGCATTCCTCAATAGTACAACCAAGGACATCCTAAGTCTCCAATATTGGGACCAATGAAGATTGCCTTGACCTTCATACTCAGGGGTTTATCATGTTTCGTCTCGGCAGACCTTCCCTCGAATTCGACCTCTCTCCCTAGTACGAAAACACCGGGTTTCGACGCTTATGATAGATTCGGAGCCATCCAATGCTAGCTTCAAGAAATGTAGATCCTATGGGGCCACGATCACCAACGCCCTTTTTGTCTTGTGCAACTTTTGCATGGCTCCACATAGGTGCGAAGCGTACTGATGCATCCAGTAAAGTACCCGCCGACGTCAGGAAATTTTGGAGGTCTCTCGGCGACACTCCCTACTATGATGTACACTGCAGTGAACATCCTACCCCATATCCAAAGCGCGACGCCAAAAGAGTACGAAGAATTCATTCATCTCGGACTGAGATACATGAATGTCATCCTACCCGGATTCCATCTCCATGATATGAAGTGAAAGTGGCTCTCCAGCGCACGTTCTGGCACTGTGCCAGAAGTGTGAGACCTCAACAAAAGAAAGCTTACTCTTCCTAGCGAAGAGTCGAGAAATAAGGATTCAGAGAGCGGAACGGGCGAAGGCTGGAAGATGCAGCGGAGGCCCAACGGAACAAGACCAACGCCGTCAACGACCCAAGTATTTCGTCGAGGACCACTTGTTCCTCCAAATCTAAAAGTTCTTTTTACGTGACCAAACACACCGTCTACCGCCCTTCTCGGGCCATTACTCCTATCCATGAACCCTTTCTACCCGCCCTCCGCATTCCCTCACCTTGAACTGACGGGCCTTCTTATAGGCACCGCAAAAATAAGGGCGAGATGCTCCTCATTGGCCTGACTTTTCGAGGAAAGCTCTCTATGACCCTTGGCTGGGATGGTGCCAGTTCCGAAAGGGACCTCGTGGAGCAGTTTTGGGATCAATTTACGAAGGCAATTGAAGAGTTCTTGATAGATAGGAGGGACCCTGGACCAAGCGCCACACTGCGGGAGGGACTCAAGGCAAGGATTTGCTTTCAGACAAATTCATGGATCATCCTTGGTGGTTGATGAATTTGGTCGCATTACGTGGCACATCCTTTCCCATTCACCGACCCCACTATCTGAACACTCAAGTCGAGAAGCTAGTAGAGTACAGATGCAATATTTGAGCCTGGTGGGCTACGCAGGTTGTCACGTTGCCAGTTATTCATTTCAAATGGCCATCCCTCTGGGCAAATGCAGATCAAGATATTCGCCGTGAAAAAATGTTGACCTGTGTTTCCCGTAATTAGTGGCTGAGTGGATGCTTGAAAGCGCAGTGGTATTAAAACTGCTATATTACTGTAAGGCTGTTCGCGATTTCCTTCCATCCCTTCTGCTGTGGACCGCGATTTTATCCGTCAGATGGGAATTATCCAGCCTCCCAATAGCATGCAGGCATTGGCCCACCCCAAAAAGAACTGGCTTCCCAACTTTTGGTCATCAACATAGTGTGGCGTATGAAATGGCCGAGGACGTATGATTGGCCATTGAGGCGGAGATAGGGATGGAGTTAAAGCTAAACGTAATGACTATCAGGTAGACTATTGAGGGTCCAACGCATATCTTGCTGGGGGGACGTGCGCCCTGACACGTGTGTGACCACGAGCACGCCCAGCAGGCAACGAGAACAATGTGCTAGCGATCTGACGAAGCAAAAATAAATCCCTCTTGGGGAAGAATGGTGAACAAAGATAGCGAACGAAGCATCGCTCTCGGATAAGCAGCGGAGAGGGTACGTTGATCGCAGGCAGTAACCATCGCCAGTGTTCGGGGAGGGGCCCTTGGACCATTCGCCGTACGGAGAAAACGTGAACAAAAACGCAATCACAAGGCAACTCTTAACCCCTAACCAGGGTGTAGAAATGAAGCAAATACGCTCCGCTTGGGTCTGACAGGGTGATCCAAAAAGGCAGCTACTTCGAAAAAGCTCACATATAGTCTAGCTCAAGCTCAGGCCATCGAAAAAAGGCCTGTCCGCAGAGCCGAGGCAGGTGATTTTTTTTGGGAATTAGAAGCGCGTAGACAGAGTACTGAACTTGGAGTCTGCGGTCGGTGAATAATGTCTTCCGGCGTTTGCCGTCCGAAGGACACCCGCTGCGTTCCACTCCTGCCCATCGCCCATCGTCGATTGTTCTCTGCCTAGAGCGCCTTTTGACTATTGGACGAACACACCGCGCTCTTTTGGTGTCGCTAGTGCTGCGAGCTACCCTTCCAAAATTTCTCAAGAGTTGTTGCTGTGAGCACTGCATCGGTATTATCTAACACGTCCTCTCTCCCGGGTTGGCCATCGCGTGCGGATGCACCGATGTACTACTCCCAACCTCGACCACAAAGCCCAGGACGCCCCTTGCAGTACAGTGACCCTTCTGCACAATGGTCGCGTTTGCAACACCCTATGCTCACCCAACCAGGTGTCCAGCAAGGGCAAGGTGTTGGAATGCCCTCCCAATCTCAGGGCTACGGTCTTGTCCAGTATGCCAATGGAAATACTCATCATCACAACCCAAACCTCGCACCACAACATCACCATCATCAGTCCCTCAATGGCTTTACTCCGATTACGCACTACCACCAGTCGCCGGCTGGTCCGCACTCCCAGCCTCATCGAGCAGCAGCATCGCCTCCAGTTGCGACTGCTGTCGCACAAATACCAAAACATTGGCAATCTCAACTCGACCATTATGATGTGAGTTTTGTGTGTGCTTATTCATACACCGACTAATTCATGGACATACGATCTAGGCCTGCCGGAAGGCAGGGGCTCCGCACACGCGCGCACGAAATGCAACATCCAATACCCGCAATGCGAGTAAGGGTGTCGCTATAACTGACCCTAACCGAATCACTCCGAAACTTCAGAATGGCATCCCCAACGACGACACGGCGCCAAAGGAAACAAACGACGACGAGCCGACGGTTGAAGGACCTGAAGGACATCCGTCATCGACTGTTGCGCCCGTCAAATCACCAACCTTAGCCCGGCCTGCCGTTTCTCGAAAAGCTGAAAACACTTGGAACGCCTTAGATCTTGGAGGTATGCGGCTCAAGAATCTGGCCCCGACATTGTTCCATTTCCTCCACCTTACCACACTCTACCTCAACCATAACCAACTTACCCACATCCCTTCCGCTATCTCGCATCTTCGCAACCTTGCTCTTTTGGACCTTTCCGCCAACCAGTTGGAAGCACTCCCCCAGAACTTGGCATGTGTGCCTCACTTGAACATCTTTGGTTGTTTGACAATCGTCTCGAGACCTTACCACCTGAGATTGGAAGTCTTCATCAACTCCGGATGCTTGGAATCGAAGGCAACCCCCTTCAAGCGTCATTGATGCAGATCATGCAAGAACGGGGCACACAAGCGCTCATCGCCCATCTTCGAGATATGTGTCCCGTTCCAATGCCACCCCCCGAAAGAGCATGGCGGATCCTTCAATCAGGAGCTGAGAGAAAGGCTCAGGATGACTCAGAAACTTTTACAGTCTTAAGTTACAACATTCTTTGGGAGAAAGCAGCCACTTCGACGATGTATGGGTATACACCCTCCTGGGCCCTTTCCTGGAACTATCGTAAGGAAGTCATCCTCACGGAGCTTATGAACCACGATCCAGACTTCATGTGTCTGCAGGTACGACCTCATTCAGTCTCTTGTGCTGAATTGACTCATCTTGGTAATCTAGGAAGTAGATTCTGCGCAATATGAGGAATACTTCTTGCCTCATTTGGCTGAGCGAGGCTACGAAGGCGTATATTCTCCCAGGGGCCGCGCTCGCAATCTATCGGAGAACGAACGGCGATCAGTGGATGGTTCGGCTACGTTTTTTAAATCTGCCAAGTACGCTTGCCGCTTATGCCGCAAACTGGCGGAGTTGATCATGTTCTCCTGCACAGATATCGCCTTGTAAAGCATTCGACCATCGATTTTGCTCAAGTTGCTATTCAGCGCGATGATTTCCTCAAGAACAATGACATGTTTGATCGTTTACTTGCCCGTGATCATATCGCTCTCGTTACGCTCATGGAGAATAGGAAGACGGGCGGCCGTCTCATTGTCGCCAACGCCTACCTTCTTTGGGACCCGGCCTATCGCGACGTGAAGCTCATTCAGACCGGGATTCTCATGGAGATGCTGAAGGAAATCGCTGACTGGTTCGCACGATATCCACCCCGTCCACCCTCCGAACGCGAACCTGATCCAGATCCATCCAATCCGCTACCGCCGGACCCAACGTACGCGAATGGGAAGGAAATACCTCTTGTTCTTGCCGGTGACTTCAACTCAATACCGGGCAGTGGCGTCTACGATTTCCTGTTGGAAGGGCACGTGCCAAGCAATCACCCAGATTTCATGGATTACTCCTATGGCAAGTTCACAGCCGACGGATTAAGGCATGACTTTGGGTTAAGGAGTGCCTATGCGGGCATTGGCGAGTTGCCTCTTACTAATCACACGCCTAGCTTTGATGGGGTTATCGATTACATCTGGCACGCCACCTCAACGCTTGCAGTAAATGCCGTACTGGGAGAAGTTGATCAGGAGTATCTGTCCAAGGTCATTGGGTTCCCGAACCCCCACTTTCCCTCTGAGTACGTCTGATTTCGAACTGACTGCTGGATCGCTGCTCACTTTTCGCTCTAGCCACATTTGTGTCATGTGCGAGTTCCGCCTCAAAAAGGACCAGACCCGCTCGGCCCCTCCTGCACCTTCACTGAACGGGAACCCTTAGCACTTTAAATAGCACTTGCACATTCCTTAAAACATGTTTTCTCTTGCTTTATCCTTGCCTCGCCCCCTAAATGCCTATTGGTTGTATTTTTCCTATTCTTCTTCAATTAGGCGTTAACGATCCACGCGTTTTAATACTACATTTTATATGCGTTCCATTCTATCACACTCAGGTTCCCATAAAAGCAATTCTGGCTGTAGCTCCCTCTGTGTGTATGATCTAACGTTGTTTCGGTATAAAGCCTAGGACAGTTCTTACTTTTTGCAACTCCGTGTGCCTCATTTGTTGAATCCGTTATGGAACCCTATCACCTAAAGGTATGAGCCACGCTTGGAGTCCCACGAATACCAGATAGTGTATTAGGTCAGACGTGGCGGCCATTGGACGCACCACGGACAAGGTCCACGAGGTCCGCCTTGGGTTGTTTCGCTCTCGGATCAACATATGCCAGCAATTCCTCGAAAATTGCAGTTCGTCGCGCGTGCCTCTCTTTATCTTGCACATTTGATATCACGGGAGGCCCATCTGCCACAAGAATTGAATCGGCAGTGGATGAATTCCAGGTCATTTCAACATCACGAGTGTTGGCCACGGGGACAGCTTCAGACGGCGTGGAAGGCCGACTGAGTAACAACGACAGAAGGCCACGGAAAACGGATGTTTCCTCCTCGTCCTGGTGATCCACCAGAGCAGAGATCTCTGACTGAAGGTATTGCAAAGCCTCAATAGTCTGTCCGTCTTCACACGTCTCTGTGAACCTGAGAGCCATGTGAGACTGCGCAATACATGGATATAGGGGAAATACCTCTGACGACGAATAGCAAGGCTGCCTTTTCGTATGATATCTTCTGCATCAGGTCTTCCGTTTGATTCGTTAGCAGAACTGCGACAAAAAGTTTGTCTCCTTACCTGACGAGACTTAGTGCCCAAAAGTCGTCCAGTCGAACTTCAGCACCTGCATTGCCTCCAAATGCATAAAAGGTTTGTCGGTATGGTTCATAGACGATGGAATACCCCAATCGAGGCCGAGGGTTCGGATCTTCGGCATCCATGGATGTCATAGGATCGGTATCATCATCTGCACGCGCATGTTCCGATATTGGGGTCCATGCATGGTTGTCAATCGAGTAAATCCATAGGCTGATCCGTGGATTGGACTGGCTTTCAGAATCATCGTTACATGCACTCGATGAACCCGAGAGACCAGATACACTAGCGGTTATCAGTAGAAATGCAGGCAAACAGGAATGAAAGTCGCTGCGTACACGTATATTTCGCGAGACAGGTCATTGTATGTTGCCCGAAGAATGTCTGAAGGCCGAGGTTGAGGGGAGTCGCGGTTCACGGTCACCTCAGCGACATCCCCCGTAAGGGTGGAGTAGATAAATCTTCAACGTGGGTCAACGTATGCTCAGGATGATCGAACAATTACTTCACATATCACTCAGAGTCTGATCGACTCTTTCTCCCCCCAGGATGTATATGTGGTGATACTTATTGTCTAGCACCATAGAATGTCCTGAACAAGGTCCTGTGAGACATCAAGTAGGGGCTTGCAAATTCACTCACGTTCTCTGGACAATACCAGGCGTTGACTACTAAGTCGCCCGTGATGTGATTCCCCGCTAGTTCGTTGTCATATTGGGTCAGGAAAGAAATAAAGCTAGAGGAACCCACAAAATCCGTTTCCATCGACCTAATTTGAAGTCATATGAATAGAAGGCACCATACTTTTTGTCTCCCTGTTCCAGATCCGAGCCAAGCCGGCCTCCGGAGACGTACAACACCTGGTTTTCACTGTCCACAACCATAGCCAAGTCATGGGCCAATTCTGGCCCGCCTTCAGCCTGGAATGATGGTAGGATGATCGGCATTACTCGCCAGTTGATCTACGGAAATTGACTCACTGCCGTATCTTCTGAAATGAGTTCCCATTTTCCTTCGTTTGGACCCCTAGTGGAGTAACGCCAGAAGTCTGACTTCAATCTTCGCAGAAAATTCAGCTGTCTGAAGTACTGCGGAAACTAATATGCGCACTCATTACTGCGTGAACTACCGTCGTCCTTCGTTACAGTCCCACGGCCCCTTGAACTGTTTCCCGATTGATTGTCGGGTGTAACATCACCACCCGAGGACTCAACACCACGTCTCGTGCGACCTCGTCGGGTATTGGACATTGAGGATCCACCACTGACTGGGACGGCCCCGGATGAAGATGAGGGTGCGAGGACAATTGTGGGAAGTGTCCCAGCTGCACTCACAACATGTGGAGGAGGCAACGAGATTTGATTTGAATCGACGTTTTGCGATTGTTGCTGGTTCTGTCGGTTTGATGTCGAATCCCCGTTGTTATGAGAATCAGACACAAATTCCCCAGGGGCGCGAAGGATCGGATCTCCAAAAGCAGGATTCGCGTATCTACCCATGAAATAGATATCCCCTGATCGTTGATCAAAGACGGCAGCACCACACGACCTCGGTGACGGCCCACGATTGCGCTCCTCGTTATAGACGTCTTCTGATATGAGCCGCCATTGTGATTGTCTGAGGTCATAGACCCAGAAATCGGCCAGTTCTCTAGCGCCGTTCCAGCCACCAAACAGATATATTAAGCCCCCAGGCCCAGCAAGACTACCCTCATTCTCCGTCGACGGTGCGAGATCAATAACCATGAAATGTCCTCCTCTGGCACATGGCCCACGAGAGGCCGAAGTGGCTGGTGAATGAGAAATGACTGAGGGACGAAGGCGGTGCCATATGGTTTTCGGTGCAATCGGAGACAACGCTGAATTCTGTTTTTGGGTTGTGTTAAGATCTGTTTCCCTATGAGCAACTGAAGAGGTAGGAAGTGGAGCTAGAATACGTCCCGCGGTGTTGGTCTCTGTCGACGCGAAAGCTTCGGAAGCCAAGATGAATGACCTCCAAATTTCCTCCGCACCGACATAGTCGCCTCTCACCACAAGCGCCCCATGAAGCTCAGAAACCTTGGGAAGCTCAATCACTAGGCCGGTGTCTCTTAAAAGCTTCTCGTACGCCTCGTTCAGTCGACGAGACCTCAGGTGCTTTAATATCAAGCGCATCGTCAAATTTTCACAGTACTGGATTCGGGGGAGTTCAGGATATGGAAGCTGAAGTAATCCAAGGAAACCCACACTGGAAAAATCCTCCGCAACCTGCTTAACCAGCTCAGGGTCTGAGACTCCATGAAGGGCTACGCTCCAGATGGAAATATTGTAGGTTTGTGTGGCGGGACTTGAATTATCAGGTTATTATTGACGCGCGTAGAATAGGTACCGTTAACGAACCTGAGGGGAACGATTTTAATGAATCTACATGGGAAAGGCTGTGATACATCAGTTGATAGGAATCCAACGGGAAAAACGCGTGCTCACTACCCCCTCTTCATTGCAATAATTTAAGGCAAATATTTGGGGGATGTCATCGTTCTTCAAATTTGCAGACAGCATGTCTTCGAGCCATGAATGCAAAGTCGGGATTTGAATTTGATGTCCAAACTCTACCCACCAGTCATATCATCGGAATCTTCAACTGATCCGTATACTTTGAAATGGTCCATGTTGCATGGATGGACTGACCATCAGAGGGTCAGTGGTTGAAAGTGGGATCATTCTGGGATTACCTGTTTTAAACTTGTACAGAGTCAACACAGAAAACTAGCTAGCACTATGCTCGAGCCCACATACCTTCCCGAAAGTTATTGTTTCTTCAATACCATGAGTGAAGGTGGGTGAATCCAAGCTTCCAGTACAATCAAACTCACTGACTACGCTGAGCCGCTCAAGCTCTAATTTAAGCCATTGCTTTCGACGCTGAAGAGGAGTGGAAGTATGACTATGTTGCAATTATGGTACGAGCGGCCATCATATCGAAAGGCGAGTGCTGTGATCAGATTGTCGGAGACGCGACAGCCTGGAACTTACTAGGCACCGGTCCACCTTTTCTCGGATGCGTGAACGTGTAGCCAGACATGGAGAAAGAAGTCAGAGAACCCCAGATATCAGTCTAACTAGATGATAAGCCACCTGCTGTTGTGATCGTCAGGCCGATCCACTAGTACGTTTTCAGGCTTGAAATGACCCGAATATGAGCTCGCAGTGACACCCTTTACCGTTAACTGCACTGTCGACATTGAATATGAGCCCAGAGTCACTCCCAACCTCCGTCCCAACGTCCCGTAGAGGCGGATCGCAAATCCCAAGTCATAATTTCATTGTCGCATCACGTGCCATCCCCCAATCGTTACAGTCGGACCGCCAGGGACCTCAGTTTTCTTCTCATGCTGAGCTCACTCCAACATACACCGACTCAGACACCGAAGGCTGACCCATCCGCTGTCACCTCTCCATACAGGAATAAACCGCGGTACTCATGCGCCAAATGCAGCGCCACTCTTGTTCGTCATTTCCGAGTTGTTCGACCCTGATTCATGTCCAAATGGCCCTCGAACCCCGCAGGCGCTGCAAGATGAGCTATTCAGCAAAGCATTTTCAGGGCGCGAAGGCCGGGCACTTTTGATGCACAATCTGGTTAATGTTCAGGTGGGCAAATCTGAGGATCGCACCCTTCTAACTGGACTCCATACAGTGAGTGTGGGGATTACCAACGATTGCTAGTCCTAACTCCTATAGGTGGCCGATATTTATTGTCTCGGTTGCGGAGTAACCCTAGGCTGGACTTATTTACGTGCTCACGAGCCTAGCCAGCGCTATAAAGAAGGAAAGTTGTCTGTGATGCCCCCGAATACGAGATTTGGGCTCACCGATGTTTCGATTCGATCATCTCAGGCAAGTATATTGTGGAGACTCAGCGCGTCATCAAAGAAAACAATTGGATCCTGGGCTCCTAGTGGCAAGCCGATTCACCCATCCCCTCGCTATGAACTCGTGTTCCGGGACTTCCGTAGATGCAGCGGCCCCTGGATCGAGACGCCGGGCGCTACTTATGTAATCACGTGCTGATTTTTTTCGTCAATTAATTGGAGGATGATACTGTGACAGTTGCAGAACTGCCCATTAAGCTTGGAGTGCCCCTACCGCCCATATTCCCAATGATAAGGCTTTCGCCAGACGTCATTGTGGATATCCAGCGCATTCTAGAGCTGAATCATTCGGATGTTTCTGACCCACTTGATTCATTCGACTTCACGGAAAACCACGCTGTTAATATCCTCAACAATCTGATACCTGATGGTTTGTACTCGAATGCGATTCATTGGCATTTTCACCATCTCATCCTAAGTAGAAGCCTCTCTTACCAACCTGGATTCGGTTCAGCGAAAGCTTCGAGATGACCAGCGTTCTTTGCAACAGGAGATTGTCATTCTCAGAAATGAATTGCATAAGGACCAAAACCCAGAGCGAATGCAAGTCATTCAGGAGCTGATTTCTGTATGCTCGCATCTGCAATGCTTCTTCCGTTTCTTTAATAGGTCTTGATGTCCAGGAGCTACTCTCGCAAATGGCTCGCATACGCGAGAAAGCCACTGAATCCGAAGCTGTCGTTCGTGAAATAACGAAAGATATTCAGGTTCTGGATCTGGCCAAGAAGAATATCTTACACAGCATTACCGCCCTCAAGCGTTTCCAAATGCTAGGTACGAGAGCTCGTGCAGCTCAGCTTTGAGGGATGATAACATGCGAATGCAGTCAATGCCCTAGCTCAGCTCGAAGGCCAGATAAGAGGGAAAAACTACGGGCAGATATCGCAGACCCTTTCTGTCAGTGCCCCACACCCCCTAGCGACGATAGGTTACACTGAACTGCTTGCATGTTAAGGCAGTCAAAGAATTTTCCGCTATATTTAAGACGTACACTGCAGTTGAGCGCGTTGCCGCAGTCTGGAAAAAGGTACAAGAAATGCAAGCGGTCATAGGCAGTATGATAGACGAAGACTTCAATGCGTTGTAAGCATCCTGACTGCTCAGAAACATACCTACGGCCGTCCTACATCTCAACATACGCTTAAAGTTTCTTCCACGACAATATCAAAGCACCGAAGCCCGCTATTCTGAGTGACGCGTGCCTTGTGGTAGATGTCCTAGGCCATGATGTTCGGTGAGCTTTCTGTGGCTGCTATGGGTGTTTTCTCCGATCCCTCACATATCTAAAAAAGTGACCATCTCATTGACCGCTATTGTTCTATCGAGCTAAAGGAATATCGTCGAGTATTTCGCGCTAATGATGAGGTATGGGCATTCCCTTGAGCATATACGCAAGAAATCAAATGCATCCAAAGGCCGGACAAATAGACAATATATCTAGACGATTTGCTTGGTTTCGTCGTATCCTGATGAATCACTATGACGAAGAAGGCTATGCGGAGATTTTTCCACCAGAATGGCAGGTGGGGGAGCATCTCTGTGCCCGTTTCGTAGACATCACTCGGTTCGATTCGCCTTCATTCCGGGGACCAGCAACTAATCTTACGCGATCTCTCATCCAGGGACGATGTGACAGCGGCATTGTCAAGGAATGCTCATTCACTCACTGTCACCATGCTACTTGACGCACTCAAACAAACCCTTGAATTCGAACAATCTATGGCGAAACGCTTTGGAATGCCTGTACGTCTAGTGTGCTCCCTAGAACTTCTCGTCTCCCACACGTCGCATCAGTTCAGTAAAATAATACAATACTGTTCAAATCGCGAACCGAAGGCCATTTCATCTGCCTTTGACCCACACATGGGTGTGTTCGTAGATGCGCAAGAAAAGTTGGTCTTAATGTCTCGCCCAGGAACCGTATTTTTCAGAATTATGAATTAGGGCACTCGCTGACATGATGTCCGGATACCGAGGCAGCAAATCACGGTCATCACTAGAAGGTGTTACAAACCCTGGCAATGATTCGGAGACTGTACCGACTGTCCTGCCGTCATCCACCAACTTGTTCTACTTTTACGGACAGAACCTCGAACAATGCGCAAAACTTTCTAATAAGCGGCCTCTATTTGACCTGACCGCATTACACAAAAAGTGGCTCAAGATTTATGCCGGTAAGGATAGTTAGATCAAGATTTCTTGATTTCCCGAGTGTCATGTTCATTTGCGTTAGACGATGTTCTCCTCGCTGGCATGAAACGGTCCGTTCAATCCCTCCGCTCCGTTGGCGTATCGTATTGAGCATTGCGGCTGATAGCTCTGATAAAGAGCGAAAGTCCAGTGAGAACAACATTAACTTCGTGGAGATATGCAATGCCTGCCTCATTCTTAACACGGCAGAATATTGTCAAGTTACTGCCCTCGAGGTTTGTACTTCAATGTTCAGTCCTTGAGCCTTACTAATGACATGAGGCGTAGCTCGAGAACAAAATCAAGGAGAGAATTAGCGAGGAATTTCAGGGAAAAGTGACATTCCAATTCGAGCGAGACCTTTTTGTCAAGTGAGTAACTAGCCCGAACTATTAAACTGGCCCATTTATGACATGTGCGCAATCAGCGTTATTTCATGCGCTATCAACGTTCTTCTACGAGAAGTGGAAACTACATGTGAACCTCAGTTCATCTCAATGGGTCGTCCTTCGTGGAATGGCTCCCAGCTAGTCAGCTCGGAATCGGCATACATGACGGAACTGGTCACATCCTTGAGGTCAACTGTGGATGTGATACGCGATCATATCGAAAAGAAGAAATATTTTCGCAATTTCCTGGACAAAGTATCAAAGTGGGTGTTCCAACATCGCTCGGTCGGACTATCGGTGAAAATGTGTCTTCCCAATGTAGCGCAATGGTTGTAAAATTTACTGCAACATTAGTTAAGAGCCGCCCCATAAAAGAAACAGGGGCAGAGCAGGTGGGTAACATTGTCAAGCACAAGTGAGCGCACCTCCACCGATCTTGCACAGGTCTTGTTAGATTTGCAGAGTCTTAAGAGGGTTCTCCTCAGCCTGCCTGATCCTCAATCGACAGAGGGTCACTCTACGTAAGCAGGTCCATCTTCAGCAGTCGCATATCTGCTTAGATCATCCGTGTTTAGATACTCACGCAATGTCAACACCGCAACTACGCAGCTGGAGACCTTGCTCAAATTAATCATTGCTCCCACCGTAAGTGACCTGAAATGTTGCCATTTTGGTTACTTCTGTGCTCACAAGGTGGGTTTCATTAGACATCTGCGGAATCCTTCGTCATCAACTACTTGCTGCTCGTCGGCGACTCTTCATTCTCGAACTTCCAGAAGGTAACGATCCATCATAGGTACAAAACCGAAACTAAACGAACCTCTAACATCATAGGTACTGGATTTGAAAGGGACCCCTCGAATGGAGCAAAATACCCTTCTTGACACCTTTTTAGCGACAATCAGCACTCGAGACGACCTCGACTCAAGTTCTTTCCTGTCCTCCCTTGACATGAACCCGTCCTCAACCGCCGCGAGCGAACTTCCATCAAGAACTGCAAGCAGTTCGCAATTATTCAGTGGGCTGACATCCCCGACTTTGGCCTCCATTCCAGGTCTGCCTGGACCCATGCCCTCAGGGGCCATGTCCCCAACGGGGAGCCGCGAAGAGAAATTCTCTCGGACTTCAGACGTTTGGTGAACTTCGCGGTGCGAAGAGACCGAGAACCCCATCAATTTTAATATTTGTATTATAGAAATTCTCAAAAGTTCTATTACGATTCACGAAGAGCAAGACGCTCCCTGCGGAGTACAGGCTAAGTCACGCGGATCGCTGCAATGTTAGGTAAGAATTAGTAGAGAATCAAATAGGTCCAAAATAAAATAAGATAGGGGAGAGCGTCTTGTGTCCGTCAAACCGCGCCTGCCAGTCGAAAAACAATCAGTGTCTGATGGGCCTGAAACTGATGTTCAGATTTTACGTACGACCCAAGGGTATCGAATTCTGAGTTTCATCTTGCGGTGTTCTTTGTACCGACAAAGACGAAGCATTTGAGGACAACCTCTCTCGGCTTCCATTATCCCCTCTCCCCCGACTTCTCCATGAACTTGGGGGCCCCGATGCAAGCTGCAACCCACCAAAGAAAGGATTGTCTCCTGGCAGGATCCGCGGTAACGAATCTAGTGACCGAGTGTCTAAACTTCGACCTAGTGCTCGGTCATCTTCAGAAGACCCGTCCCGCGTTTGCTGTGCCGAGCCATCCGTCATGTCCAATGATCTAGACCTTGGACCCAATGGTCGAATCCGTATTGGGGAGGGACGATCGAAGGACTGGGTTGGACGAAGAGGATGAGGGAGTGAGATTGAGGGTCGATCAAGCTGGGGTTCGGGTCGGATGGGTGCTTGATTCAATGTAGTGTGGGAGCGCGAGTAACGTAGTTGGTTTTCTCTTCTTCCCCGATCTTTCCGTCTGCGGAAGAGAGCGAAGAAGATGAGGCCTAGGAGAAGTAGACCCGAGAAAGCAGCAACAAGGCTGATAGCTATGAGGGTTCCAGCCGCTAAGCCCACGTGGTGATTATGATTCGCACTGTCACTGGGGGTCGGGGGGTTGGCACGGTGATGTTGGCGAAACAAATTGTTAAGAGTTGGCCTTCCAAGAGGTTTGTCAGAAGGAGTTGGTGGGGAACGTTTGGGCGAAGGTTTCCCTGAGAATAAATCAAGTGCATTCCTGTCTGAGCTGCTGATGAACTGTCATTGGCCTAAAGCGAAGTGAATAAGATGAAGTTGTAGGACACGAAGTGAGAACGCCTTCACCATCCACTTGCCATCCACGGTGACACTGAAGTTACCATTCCGAAGGCTGTTACGTTCCTTGAACCCATAGATCTCTACCGCGGTGCCTAAAGAAACAGAGACAGGAGCCAAAGTTGAATAGTCAATGACTAGAACCAACACTTCTGTGGAAGAATGGGTCACCTGTGAAATTGAACCACGCGGTGTCCCCGGAGTCTGAGTGCAGTAAGGGAAGGGTCAGGGAGACCAAATACGGCAAAGAACCCAGGAGACACGAACGGTTTGTGGCGTGGAACGAATTATATGTGTTGGTGATGGAGGAGTCAAGGTGGTAGGCCCTTTGAGAGCAAACACGATCCGATCGGACAAAGTACGCGATTGACGGTAATCGGCAAACTTACCACCGGCCCCTAAAGGCCATTTCGGTGTCATCAATGAACATGGTATCCCGAGGTGCGGGAAAAGTTCACACAGATGCAGAGGGAGAACAGGGTGGATAGAGAGTGAGGCGCTGAGCCTAGCTGGCCAAACTTGAATGAAGGCGGGACAAGAGGAAATACAGACGGAGCACGAATTTGGAAGGAGACGGAGAGGTTGTGGCTCTCTCCGGAGCTGCGGGAGTCTCTTCACAGCGCATAGGTCGTCAACGGTAGCCAAGAAGGGTGATGGCGCTGAAGTGAGGCTGTACAATGATCAGAGGGACGATTCCTTCAAGCAACTGGGCACAGCCACGACAATAAGTGATATTGCATCGCCATCTGGTCAAATGGCTGTGTGACCACTGACCAGCAAGTGCCCCATTCGCCAAACGAACGCTGAAATTGGTTCAATTGATATTTCCTGACCTTCTTCAAACCCCCTTGCGTTCGATAGATTTGGATGTCAGTGAGATATGCAGTTGCTTCAGCAAGTTCGTCAATTCGCACCCCAGGAGAAATTCGCCTATGATTGCACTGTGATTGAGGGTAAGAGCATCAAAGTATATTTTGAAGGGAATAATGGATGCTTCGTTTGAGTGCCTGCGTCATTCCTAATTTCCTCAGAGTAATCTTGCCTTCAGAATGCATACCTCTCGACAGATTCATGACTCAAGGGACACCAATGAAGGCAAGTGGCGATGAAAATAATTGATGCTATACAGTGCAGGTTGACGAAGCACCCAATCACCTTACTGTGCGAGCAGTGGGCGGGCGGGAATTGAAGCATGGCGATCTCGGATCAACGAACACAGCCATCTTTTTCACGTACGAGGAAGCGACCCAAAGAGTGGTAAGTTGTAATCACTTACTGTAAAGGCGCTTATTTTGGCTTATTTTGTCAGTTCTTATCGCTATGCCCCTACATCTGTCATCTCATGAAAATTTCGCCTTACTTCTTCTTCAGCTCATATATCATGAACTGAGGCATGTTTCCATCCCAGCGGGTTGATTCGGCACGCTTGCGCGGTAACTATCTGCAGTCTACATATCTTCAACTGAGCGTGTGGGCTAGCTTCGGTGTCGCTGCCAGGCCAAACACATACTTTATGCGCTCAAGGCGCAGACCCACTGGCCTGATCCGCCTGGGCAGGTGACCAGCCTCTCCGCCAAGTCCCCAGCCGCTTGTGCTTGATCACTCCGCTTTTACATACGATATTCTCGGGCTCCGCCCCGTTGGTTCCCTGAGTTGTCGGGTGCTCGGGAACCCTTCCGCTGCGGCCGAACAAGTTGATCTCTATTCCCTCGGTCACAATTCTTTGGGCAATGACTTTCTGCTCTATTGAAGGTGACTCATCTGCACGTCAATCACGTCATCTAAGACCCCATGCACAATGGTTTTCCCACAATAACGCGATTCTGGGACTGCCCCTAACGATGTAACGCGACTTCACAATGCCAAATATTTCAGGTCTCTCGTACACACCGCGATCTGAGTTACTTCATCTGACCAGGACCAGAACTCTGGGCCTTCTCGAACTGGATCCATCCCTCCTCTCATGTCCGCGAGATAGGATTCGGAGTCAGAACGGCCTGATTTGCCCAAAGTTGTAACGCGCGGGTTCCAACTCTTGCTGCATCTCCATGAACGCAGGTCATCATCCTTCAACTAGCTATCTCTTGGATCCGTATCCCTGGTACTCGCGTATGACAGGCTAGACCCGAAACACAACTCGATGTCAGTCCGGGGTGCACCGCCACGATGAACACTCGGTACAATCGCGGCCATACACATCACATGTGAAATATACAGTATATCTCTTTTACCATCGCCTGAAGCGCTGGCGGCGGTCCTGTGCTAGCTGGATCGCGAGCTTATCGAGCCGCTTAAATCATTCACCATCGGCTTTGGAGTGGGATCAGGCGCTTGCGTTGAGGAGGAGAAGATCAGACCAGTACGGAAGGAAGAATGACGGGAACCGAGATCACTGATGCGACCATATTGCATTGTTGCCTGCGTGTTGCATACCCTCAGCAACTCATCGGTAAAACCCTTTCGATCACTTCCAAATATGCCTAGCCGGTGGGGGATCGGGCCCGTTGTGACCCCTCTGCACGCAAGCTGAGACTTCTTGAGCGAGCTCCTTGCCTCTTCTCTATCTAGAAGTCCGGCGATTCCAGGACCCCGGCCTCTGCAGAAGACGCCAGGCACCAATCACCGTGATGAATCAGGCGACGTGCGAACTCAGACATAGCCTTCTCCCGATTTATGGTTGTTGGCAGGATCACAGCGTCTACCTGCCTATAAAGACCCAAGGTTGCATATGGCGGAAGGCCATTATGAGAATGTATGGATTCCTAGGACCAGACGAGTGATCAAGGGACAACAGGAGATGTTATTCTTGGAAAAGACAGCCAAATTCCAGGTCCGATCTTCAACGGACCAGCTATCGTGCGATAAGAACAATATTGTAGTGTCAAGCAAATTCAGATTTTAGTCTCTCTCGCAGCGGAATGAGAACCGAGGAAGAAGAGAATCCTTGATCGATATATCATGGAGATCAATTTCGGACATCTTACTGACACATCATACTCTGGCATACACCAGTCCAATGATCAAAGACTGTCTCACAACGAAGCATGTGTAGGGGGCTTTCGCCACAGTGCTTGTCAATCTTTGAAACAACACTTGTGTTCAAGGACCAACACCTCAAACTGCACAATTCATGCGTTCCAACCTCCGGAATTCAACCAACACATCAATGGTCACTTCGTGACGTCCGGCCCAGCGAGCCAAGCCATGGAATTGCTTGGCATTCGCTCTAGCTTGGCGTATATATATGGCGCGGCGATGGCCAGTTTACTTATAGCCGTGGCACAGCGACTATGTATTGCTATTGGGGAGATATTTTTAAGCCTAAATTGGCTAGCTCGCACTATTTTAGTACTTGTTTGGCAGGGCTGACCCAAAACTTCTTATGTAAGCAAGGGCTTCTGAACGTGATCAAAGACAAGGCCGCTCAAGGGCCGCTGAACAGATGCTACCTATAGGCAAGGTGCCGCCCGAACCTCATATCGATCTAACGGTGCACGAGGTTCAAAAGTGCGATGCCTCATTGCTGCTAGCTGTGGCCTTGTTCTGTGAGAAGCTGTTGCAGAAGTGCCTGAAGGCGGTGTCTGCTGAATTGAGCTGGTTCTTCGCAAAACAGGAAAGGTTGGTTTTACGTGTGCAGGTGTACACAGCCTTTCTCCGGTTTACGTAATACAACAATATGACAATGTAAATGAATTCCGCCAAACTAAATATATTCTGTCCCGTGCCAAGCGTGCCTGGCTGCAAATTTGCTTTTTAAGATGTAGTGATTGATCCACGTCCCCTTCTGCGTCTTATTCCTCAATGGCTTTCGTTCTGAAAACAAGCCTCTTCTACCTTTGCTTGTTATTCGTTCGGGGGGGATTGGCGCAGGGGTTCAGCTTGGTGACAACAGCTCGGAATTCGAGCCAATTGTTTGGCACCTCAACCGTCCAGTGCCAACCGGGTTACGATTGGGTGTGTGACTTCGGACAATGGTCCTTAATTCAGCGATGAATGGCGTCGTCTTCCTCGTAGGCGAGTAATTCGTTGGGCCAAAATCCATGTTTGGTGAGTGATTGCGCTCATCTGATCATCGTTCGCGCGCTTACCGTTCTATTGCTAGATAGCTGCATTTCTCACTGGGGCTTGTGGCAGTATGTTTCTTGGGAGTCTTCTCCCGGATGCGTTCTTGACATTTTGTTGCAGATGGAGATGGGGAAGTGAGGAGTCTGACCCCATTCTGTGAACCCTACAATTCGCCCATAGACAACAGCGGCCTAGATACAAGCCAATGTGCGTTTTCCATTGTGCTTCCGTTGCTTTCCCCCTGTAGCCAACATTTAGCTTCTGAAAGGTGTTTGTTCATCTGTTCACTACAACCTGATCGCTGCGTGTGCTGGTTGTCAGGGAGAACCTTATGTCAAGTACGTGGTCTGTTCGTGCAGCATTATCCATGAGGTCTGTTGAAGTCGGATGCTTATTGAAGATGGAGCAATTATTCCTATTATTGTCCCACTTCTTACATTACGGAGGGAAAGTGAGTAAACCAGCATCGTTCTTAGAACCCCTTTAATTTTTTTCCCATACTTTTTACTAGTGTTCCCGTTTCACTTCCTAGCGACACTCGTATTCCGGCTTGGGCTTATCTCAAGCCAAGCCAAAACAACGATTGGTATGTGATCTTTTAGCGTTAGACATCCTGTCTATCGGACGACCTGACAATCACCCATTTCGCTAGGTACAATGCCCCCCTTTCTAAAAAGATTGGACGTGCGTAACGCTTCATTCACCGCGTTCAAACATCAGCTGATAATGACACGCCAACAATTCTTTGCTCACACAGGCAACCCAGAGAATCAGAAACTCAGCAATCCCACCGGAGTCTCCCACTACTCCCCTCCCAAACCTTCTTGCTCCGGTGGGCCCCCTGACGACTCGAGCAAGACCAGCGGGGGTGGTGGAAGTACGAAAACAGGTACAGTCGTAGGGGGTGCTGTGGGTGGAGTGGCGGCTGTGGCGGCCGTTGCAGCCGTCGCTTATGTTATTCATGCCAAAATGGCAGCGGCAGGTGGCGTGTCTGCGGCAGCAGCTGCCAAAGGTGCAGCTGCCTCTGGAGGTGCCGGAGCGACTGCAGGTTATGGTACAGGCGGGGGTGTGAGCGCGGCTGCCGGAGCTGCTCAGGCACCGTTTGCTGCTGGAGGTTTCGCGGGTGCAGCGCCGGGTGTCAGTGCGTCTGTAGGATCGGGCGCTGGAATTGCCGGGAGTGGTGCAGCGTCAGGTATTAGCTCGGGCGTGGGTGCAACGTTTGCTCCTGGTGTAAGCGCTTCTGTTGGTCCTGGTGCCGCCTTCGGCCCTGGAGCTGCTGCGTCAATGGCTCCTGGTGTTGGCGCCTCTGTCAGCCAGGGAGCTTCCGGCGCCTTTGGGGTCGGTGCCAGTGCTGGTTTTGCGCCTGGAGTCGGAGGCTTCGCACCCGCAGGAGGAGCTGGGGCAGCTGGCATGGCACCTGGGTTTGCGGGCGCCGGCTCTGCCTTGGCTTCGGGTTCTGGTGCAGGAGCAGGATCAGGGCCAGTCATTGGAGGCGTTGCCGGCGGTGTTGGAGGGGCAGGATTCTGGGGCAGTTTGTTCGGTGCATCCAAGAAGAGGCGAGATGATCCGGAGGCGGCTTATGCGCCCCAAATGACAAGCACGAACAACGACAGCACCTTGCTAATGTCACCTCATCAGCCTCCGTCTTACCTCAGTGGTTCGACCCCCCAGTCGCCAGCAAGGTAATAACAAAGTTTTGATCATTCTGCCTTCTCCGATGCTGACTCGGCATTTTTAGTTTTGATCCTGGCCTCTTACCCCCTGGAGCGCGCCCTCCAGTGACCCCGGCCACTCCACTTTCGCTTGGGAGCGAAGTACCACCCAATCAGAGCCCCCCGTATTACGCAAGTTACTTCCAAGGAGCTCAGGGAGCCAGTTGAAAGCCAATGTCATGAATCCCCCCCTTTTACAACTCCTTTTCTGTCTGCTGCCACTGTGTTTCCCCGACTTACGGTTCATTTTTGTCTTATCTGTTTGGTATTATGGGGAAGAGCGCAATCTATTTTTTTATTCTACACCTGCAGCCAATATCTGCCCGAACAACCTGTCAGCACATGGTCGTGGGAGCTTCACTTCATGGATCGGTCAGTTTGGCTAGTTCTGATGAAGTGCCGCTTCTAATCCAACGAAATTGTCCAGATTTACATTGCTGCGACAATTTCCTGATGAAGGGCTTTTGGACTGGATCTAAGTCAGGACAGGCGAGCGCCGCGCGCGTGGCAGTGTTGCACACCGATCGATATCTGCGATGTATGAAATTCAAATTGCGATACTTGGTCCCAGCCGCCTGGCTGCAAATGTAGGTCCCTCTGTTTTTAAGGGCACGAACCCGGGAGCCGCTCCACATCCTCTTCTGCGCCTCGCACCATAATGGCCCCTTTCATTCTGAAAAGAACCCTCTTCTACCTCTGCCTGCTATTCGTTCGTGAGGGATTCGCGTGGGGGCTCAGCTTGACGGCGGCGGCTCAGAATTCGACCCAGTTGTTTGGCATCTCATTTGTCGATTGCCAGGCGGGTTACGATTGGGTGTGTGACTTCGGACAACGGTCCTTAATTCGGCGATGAACGACGTCGTCTTTCTCGTAGGCGAGTAATTCGTTGGACCAAGATCCATGTACAGTGAGTGACAGTGCTCATTTAATCCTCATTCGCGCGTTTACGATACCATATGCTGTATCACTAGGTAGCTGCGTGGCTCATTGGAGCCTGTGACGGCACGTTCTTTGGGCATCTTTTGACTGCTTCTGGATACATTCTTGACATATCGGTTTAGATTTCATAGGATGGGGGAATGTGTACTCTCTTTCCAACTGTAAACCCTACAACTCGCCCATGGACGGCACCGATCTACCTCCAAGCCGATGTGTGTTTTCCATTGCGCCCCGCTGCCCTCTTCCTGTGGCTAACATGCAGGTTCTGAGAAGGTGTTTGTTCATCTGTTTTCTACAATCTGCTTGCTTCGTGCGCCGGTTGTCAAGGAGAACCTTATGTCACGTACGTGGCCTGTCTGCGCAGCATTATCCGTGCGGTTTGCTAAAGTCGGATGATTTCTATAGATTCACAAATTATACCACTCATTGTCCCACTTCTTACATTACGGATGGAAAGTGAGCAAGCTAGACATTGTTCCTAGCAGGAACACCTTTAAATCTTTTCTTTGCTTTATGCTAGCGTCCCCATTTCAATTCCTAGCGACACTCGCATTCCGGCTTGGGCTTATCTCAAGCCAAGCCAAAACAATGATTGGTATGTGATCTTTCAGCGTCAGACATCATGTCTGTCGGATGGCCTAACAATCACCCATTCCGCTAGGTACAATGCCCCCCTTTCTAAAAAGATTGGACGTGCGTAAGGTTTCTTTCACCGTGTACAAACATTAGCTAATAATGGCACGCCGACAATTTTTCGCTCATACAGGCAACCCAGAGAATCAGAGACTCAGCAATCCAACCGGAGTCTCCCACTACTCCCCTCCCAAACCTTCTTGCTCCGGTGGGCCTCATGACGACTCGAACGGGGGTAATGGGAGTGGTGGAAGTACGAAAACAGGTTCAATTGTAGGGGGTATTGTGGGTGGAGTGGCGGCTGTTGCGGCTGTTGTAGCCGTCGCTTATGTCGTTCATGCCAAAATGGCAGCGGCCAGTGCCGTGTCTGCGGCAGCAGCTGCCAAGGGTGCGGCTGCCTCTGGAGGTGCCGGAGCGACTGCAGGTTATGGTACAGGCGGGGGTGTGAGCGCGGCTGCGGGAGCAGCTCAGGCACCGTTTGCTGCTGGAGGTGTCGCGGGTGCAGCACCGGGTGTCAGTGCGACTGTAGGATCGGGCACTGGAATTGCCGGGAGTGGTGCAGCGTCAGGTATTAGCTCGGGCGTGGGTGCAACGTTTGCTCCTGGAGTAAGCGCTTCTGTTGGTCCTGGTGCCACCTTCGGCCCTGGAGCTGCTGCGTCAATGGCTCCCGGTGTTGGCGCCTCTGTCAGCCAGGGAGCTTCCGGCGCCTTTGGGGTCGGGGCTAGTGCCGGTTCCGCGCCCGGAGTCGGAGGCTTCGCACCCGCGGGAGGAGCTGGGGCAGCTGGCATGGCACCTGGGTTTGCGGGCGCCGGCTCTGCCTTGGCTTCGGGTTCCGGTGCAGGAGTAGGATCAGGCCCAGTCATTGGAGGCGTTGCCGGCGGAGTTGGAGGTGCAGGAATCTGGAGGAGTTTGTTCGGTACATCCAAGAATAGACGAAATGATCCAGAAGGGGCTTATGCGCCCGAAATGACAAGCACGAACAACGATACCTCCTTGCTGATGTCACCCCATCAGCCTCCATCTTTTATCAGTGGTTCGACCCCCCAGTCACCAACAAGGTAATACAAAGTCCTGACCATTCCGTCTTCTCCGACGCTAACTCGGCACTTTTAGCTTTGATCCTGGCTTCTTACCCCCTGGAGCGCGCCCTCCAGTGAGCCCAGTCACTCCACTTTCGGCTGGGAGTGAAGTCCCGTCCAGTCAGAGTCCCCCGTATTACCTAAGTTACTTCCAAGGAGCTCAGGAACTAGTTGAAAAACCGAAACCGTGAATCATGATTCCCTTTACAATTTCTTTTCCGCTTGCTACTAGTGTTCTGAATTGACTCATGATTTGTTTTGTCCCATCTGTTTGGTATTGTTGATCTCGGATCTTGATTCTGAACAGACTCCGGCTGGATTGAAGGTCTCCAAGTTCCAGTTTCACCATACCTTGAATCGGACGGTAGTCTCGCCGAGCCATTCACCTTCCAGTTTGTTATATTGTGTTTGCAGACGTTTTTAAAATGCTCTTAAATAACAATTTCGTGATTCTTCACCTAACGATGGCAGGCTGAGCTTATAGCGCTGAAGCATTCCCTTCCCACTAATAGTTTAAATCATTTCTTACTTCCTTGTGTAGAACGTTGGGAAACCTATGACATTCCCGATTCCATCTGGAGAGAGAAAAAGTGTCCCAAACGGAATAATTTCGAGATACAGTCCAGTGAAGTAGCTGGATTTGCTTCAAATATTATCCATACACCCATATCTGGAGCAAAATAGAGCTTTCTGCCTACTTCACTATATTTTCGAAATTGGGACGCTTTTCAGATATTAATTTAGGCCCAATTTGACATACAATACATGGCTACACTGCCCCACATCAACGCTTTCCAACGCAGGTGGATCATGGAGATTGGTTAAGGATTGAACGAGCAATGGTGAAGCGCGACTTTTTGAATTACGGAGTTTGCCAGGGATTTTGAGAAAACAGCCAAAATATTTATGTACATACTTATTGTGATCGGAAAATTCCGTTCTTTTTCTTTTCTCATGGTCATGTCGTGCTTGGAACTCATTCTTTCGCTTGTGAAGTGTCTACCACTCTGTTTTGTTAGATGGCCGGACACATCCTTAGTCACGTCCATTGTTGGGTTTTTGTGCCTGAATATGTGCCAAGCCAAGGGATGTCGTGAATGGATCCGAGTTAGCCAACTCAGTGAATTGGCTTCGGTTTATCTCACTGGCATGTCTAAAAACAAATTAATTTGCAACTAAGATCACCGTCGTGCCTGCAGGGGTGACATGGAGGTGGCCATTCTTAAAGCACGATTGATGGTTCATCCAGGCTCTTCTCCCCTCACGAAACCTGCTCACCGATGGCTAGCATTCTGAAAATAGGCCTTTTTCATTTGTACCTTCTATTCATTCAGAATGGCTTTGCGCAAGGGCTCTTGGCAATTAGATCCCTGAACCTGACCCAGCAACTGGATGGCACTTCAACCGTTGTCTGCGATCCCTCG